AGCCCACATGTTTTCTTTTTGAGACATAGTCTCACTATGTTGCCCTCAGCAAAGTGCTGTGACATCATAGCTCACAGCAACCTCAAACTCCTGGGCTTAAGTGATTCTCTTGCCTCAGCCTCCCAAGTAGCTGGGACTATAGGCACCCACCACAATGCCTGGCTATTTTGTTGTTGTTGTAGTTGTCATTGTTGCTTAGCAGGCCCGGGCCAAGTTCAAACCCACCAGCCCCCATATATGTGGCTGACACCTTAACCTCTGAGCTATGGGTACCGAGCCCATACACATGTTTTTTTTGTTTGTTTGTTTTTGGGGTTTTTTTTGTAGAGACAAAGTCTCACTTTATCACCCTTAGTAGAATGCTGTGGCGTCACACAGCTCACAGCAACCTCCAACTCTTGGGGCTTAAGCGCGTCTCTTGCCTCAGCCTCCCGAGTAGCTGGGACTACAGGCGCCCACCATAACACCCGGCTATTTTTGGTTGTAGTTCGGCCGGGGCCAGGTTTGAACCTTCCACTCTCGGTATATGGGGCCAGCGTCTTACTCACTGAGCCACAGACGCCGCCCTACACATGGTTTTATAATGGTTTCTTTTCACCTAACAAACAAAATGTCTCAAATTCTTTGCATCTCAGTATATGTGCATCTACATCATGGTCTAAATGGATTTGTAGAGGGGAGGAAGGAAGGGAAGCTTTGACATTTTTAATAAGTGTTGCTAAATTGCTCTTCAAAATGCTGTTTATATTCCCTCCAGGAATATTAGCTGTGTGCTCGTTTGCACCCGTCACCAATAATGTGTGTTGTGAACCTTTTTAAAGTGATTTTTAAATGAGATTTAACAACTTTTCTTGTGTTTTTTGAGCATCTGTAAGTTTTCTGCAAATTGCCTATTTTTTTTTTTTTTGAGACAGAGCCTCAAGCTGTCACCCTGGGTAGAGTGCTGTGTGGCATCACAGCTCACAGCAACCTCAAACTCCTGGGCTCAAGTGATTCTCTTGCCTCAGCCTTCCAAGTAGCTGGGACTACAGGTGCCCGTCACAACATCCCACCATTTTTTGGTTGTAGCTGTCATTGTTGTTTGGCAGGCCCAGGCTGGATTTGAACCTGCAAGCTCTGGTGTATGTGGCTTGCACCTTGAGCTACAGCCTCCAAGCCTAAATTGCC